TCAAAACAAAACTGAAACTGCCGAAGAAGGAAGGAAGAGAGAAAGAAAAAGAAAGAAAAAAAAAAAAAAAAAAAGGGGGGAATAAAAATAGGAATGCTTTTTTATATGTACTCGCGCGCGACAAAAAAAAAAAGAAAAAAAATACCACACACGAATCGCGATTCGGGCCGAAATGTGACGGCGTAATTACCGGAAAAAAAAGAAAAACGGTTTACATAATAATAATAATAATGAAAAAGAAAAAAAGTGTGGAATGTGAAAGGATAATTAAAATGTAACAAATAAATGAGAGATTAGAATCGTTTAATTTGATATATAAAAAAAGAAAAAAAAAAAAACAAAAAAAACGATTTTAATTTGACTCTCTCTCCGCCCGCACCCGTACCGTACCCGTCACGCATGCGTTCCCGTCTCGTAAAAATCGTTTAAAACGTTTAACACTTAAAGTGCGCTAATGTAAGAGAAAGAAAAAAAAAAGAAAAAAAAAAGAAAATGTGTTTTCACTTAACAATTCGTCGTTATTAAAAAAATGTGTAAATAGAGTTTCTATAGATTATTAATGAAATACGTTAGAATGATAGAAAAATAATAATTCAATGAGATGATCGTTCTTTTAACGATTTAAAACACGAGTTCCCTTCACTGTAACATTCTAACGGGTGGTGGGTAGGAATTCGGGTTGGAGGTAGGGATAAGGAAGGGGGAAGAAGGGGACACGGTTAAGATGAAAAAATATTGTCCAGGAGAAATGAAATAAATATAATAAAAATTATGCTAATTAAATAATAATTAAATATTAATAATAATGATGATAATGATGATGAAATGGCGATTATAATGATGATGATGATGATGATTATAAGTATAATAATAAAACGATATGATATATAGTAAGGATAATAATGAGGATTAGAATAATAAGAATAATAAGAATAGGTGAATAAGGAATAATAATAATAATAATAATAATAATAATAGTGATAATGAAAGATCTGATAAAGGTTAATATTATTAATAACTATTATATGAAAATACCCAGCCTATCTTTCTACTAAAAATGAGAAATTATTTTTTGAATTGTGTCGTCGAAGAGGTCCTGTGTAGTCGTCCCCACGTGTGTATCTGTGGGATCGTCCTCCCTTTTTCCCCCCTCAACCCCACCCATTCCCCCCTACCCTTAATAATATATTATATATATATATATATAAAACAATTTGTCCTCGTTCCAATCCACCACCCTTTTGTGAAAATCCTTCATTGTGAGAAAAAGACTCATCCACTGTCACCTGTTCCACCAATCACCACCACCACCACCTCCCCACCCCACTCCAAATGAAAAGGAAAGAAATAAATATAAATGATTAAATAATAATAATAATAATAATAATAATAACACATACAAACACACACGTACATATGTACTACTTTGTAAAAGATATTAGCTGAACATTGTCGGTGTTTATCAAGTATCGAGTAATGAAGTGTTTGAAGAGTAAAAAAAAAAGAAAGAAAAGTAATATTAAAACAAAACAACAAAAAAATAAAATAAAATAAAATAAACTAAACATGTAACGTAGCTCGATGACTCCGTGATTTTGATCAAATGAAATGAAAACAAAAAAAAAGTAACTGAGCATATAGAAAGTAAAGAGAAAAGAAAATTAAATTAAAATAAAATAAATTAAATGAAAAAAAAAAAAGTATAACTGCATAATATGTATAATTGTAATAGAGGAAAAAATGGGGGAAGAGTAAAAGTGAGAGAGAAAGGAAGAAAGGAAGGAAGAAAGAAAAAAAATACAACGAGCCAACGTGCTAATGTGCCACGTTGTGTTCTCCACGTAGGTGTATTATAATAATAATATTAAAATAATAATAATAATAATAAACTAAATAAAAATAATTAAACAAAATGAAAAAGTATACATAATCATAACTGCAGCGTACGTAACTATAATAATAAATAGTTTGACGAGTCAACGTGAAATGTGAAACGATTTAGTGAGCAATTTAATTAATAAAATTAAAGAAAAAAAGAAAAAAGGTAAAAAAATTAATACGCGAGGGAAGAATGAAAGAAGATGAAAAAATGAGTATGCCTAATGAACCTTATATAAAAAAAAAAAACAAAAAAAGAAAAGAAATGATTGATAAATGATACGCCCATTGTACATATCCGTTGTGCATAGACAGAATGCCGGTAAAAATATCTTTTGCATCTTAAGAGAGAGAAAAAAAAAAGAAAGAAAGAAAGAAAATATTTAAAAAAAAGTTAAGAAAAAAATGAAAGAGTAAGAATAATTTTTTAAACGACGAACGATCATGCAAGCGACCCTAACGCAAAAATGAAGATTTCTAATTTAACACTAAACTTATCACAGGACCAATCGAATGACCGGTTTGAAGAATTCCAAAATTAATTTGATTTTTGTTTAATATATATTGCATTTATTGGTTTAAGTGTTATTAGTTTATTTTTATTTTAAACTTTTATTTTAATAATTTTAAATTATATTTATATTGTTTTATTATTATTATTATTATTATTATTATTATCATTATTATTATTATTAAATATAAATTGTTTTATTTATTATTTAAGCCAGTACCAAATTATTGTGCTATTATCTGCATTTATTTATAAAAATAGAACGAGATATAATTTCTGTTAAAGATCGGTCAATTGACCGGTTACGATATAATTGTGTATACATAAATTTTTAGTTTTTATATATCACGACCGGTCAAATGATCGGTATTTAATTTTAATTTTAATAATTTTTTTTTGTTTTTTCTCCTCATCGAATGTTATTACTTTTTATTCGTTTGACACACATTACTTTATATATAATTATATAATATTATAATATTATTCGCTTTTTTTGTTCGTAATACTTGAATAGATGAGATGTGGAATACAAGAGATTAAATGGTGTAGAAATAATATTATAAATATTATTTTATTATTATACACCACGAACATATTGTTTTATTTATTATTTATACCATATTATGAAATTAATTTTACCATTTAAAAATTGCATGTACACAAACTTTTTTTTAAAAACGGGATGGTTCGATCGGTTACGATAAAAAAAAAAAAAGTACTGTTGATAGGTTTGGCGTTAAATGAGAAACCTATAAAAGAAAAGAAGAAAAAAAAGACAGTTTACTTTTTCAAAAATTTCTATTTTATCGAATTTTTAATAACCCTCGTAAGGATCGTCGTGATTTTTCGTCATTATATTTTTTTTTATTCTATAATTCATTATTTTCTTCATATATTTAAACGATAAAAATCACAAACGGAAGTTACATATTTACACATACGTAAACGTGTGTATTAAATTATTATTAAAAGATAAAAAAATGGAGAAGACGTACGCAAAAAAAAAACTATAGCGACAGACACGCGCGCGAACAACTGTGATTCGAATTTTCTAATCTCACTTCACTTCTAAAAATAATTTTTCAATTCTGAAAACGACGTTGCCGATCGTTAATATTATTTCGAATTAATTATAAACGAATTTTTCTGACATAATAATTTCTTTTCTTCCAAATAAAATCCGGCAAAATATAACAAACATAATAATAATAATAATAATAATAATAATAATAATAAATAGTAAAATAATAATACTAGTAATAAAGATAGTAATAATAATAATAATAATAATAATTGATAACGATAATTAAATGATAAAAAAAAGAATAAAGAATGCAAAAAGTGAAATGTTATGAAAAACCAAACACACGTTGTACGCGAAAAAAGGCTCGTAAAAGTAAAAAAAAAAGAAAAAAGGGAGAAAAAACAGTACAGAGAAGAAGAAAAATTAATGTATGTTTTCTACGTGGTACACTCGCTAATATTGCGCGAATCGATACGTAAAAAACGGGGAGAGAGAGAAAAAAAAGGAAAAGAAAAGTAATTCAAATACGGGGAGGAAAAAATCACGCGACGAGACGTTTAAAAATTAATCTTAAAACAAAACAAAACAAAAAAAGAAAGGAACGCGAAAATTTCAAATAGGGGAGAAAAAAAAAAAAGGACAAACAAGAGGAGAAAAAGAGAGAGAGAGAGAGAAAAAACACACACACATTACGAGAAAGCAGCAAAAAGAAAAGAAAGAAGACGATAATATAAAATGGCGGATGTCGCCGTCCCCCGCCCGCCCCTCTCCCGCCCTACCCTTTGTGTAATCGAATTAAACTTTTTAAACGCTTAAAGCACGTCGTCGCTTCCTTTCGCGCTTGCGCACTAACGTCTTATATAAATTAGAAGGGA